GTGTGTGTGTGTGAGAGAAAGATAAAGATGGGAATTGCTGCGAGAGTGACATAGTGCCGCGCTGATATGCATAAGCAGATTTTAAATTCTGAGGCGTTCGCAGACAGCTCGCAGAGCTGTGTGAAATACGATTATCGCGCACTTTGCGGGTAGGAAAGTTTCAGTGTTCCGTACGTCGTCGTCCCCACGCGGCCATAAAGGTAAATCAAACGTAATGTAATATTACGTTTCACTCGGCACACCGTAAAGTGTATAGCTTCGAGGGGCGACGCGTCTTCGCGGCCGATTCCGTCTTTAACGCCTCTCGCGATTTACCTGAGAGTCCCTCGGCTTTAACGACCGATTACGGTTTTGACGTACTCGGCGGTTTTACAACATAATTAAGAGGTAGTTGCGCATAACCGTGCTTACGGCGGGAGGATTACCCGTGTCCATGAGAACGGTTATATCCGTCTTGGCGTCTTCTAAACGCGCGGCTCTCATCGGGAAACGATAACGCGCCACGACGACGACGACGATGTTAATCGTCGTTGACTTGTTACCCGTATACTCCGTGCATCATCACGGAGAGATGTATGTATTGTAGAAAATATGTATTGTAGAAAAAAAAAAAAAGAAGCGAAAATCGCGCGCATAGCGTAATGTTGCCACCCGTCCGGTTTGCTGAAGAGTTTTGTCCGGTTTTACCGAAATTTCAATATCAAATAACAAATTGAACGATGCATTTCACTTTTAATTACTTTGTTAAATAAAGAAATTTTTATTTTCTCGGTGGTACTAAGTGAGTGAAAACAGTACGAAGGTACCGTGCCTTGTTTGCACAGAACGTCGTTGAGATCGTCGGCGGAAATTTTCATCTTTGTGGTTGAGCGCGCGCGCACTTCAACTTGACCGATTACTTGAGATCTTCCGGGCACTCGTTCTCAACAAACTATTCTTTCTCCAACGTGTAATGTTACACGGGGTAAAACTACTGCCATGTTGAATGTTCGTGCGCGCCCAGTCCTTTCGGTTTGTCTCTTCTATTTATATTAATACTGACACACTTCGCATAGTTTTATTGTTTTTGCATGCCTTTGTTTTTACTGAAGTTAAAAGAAAAAGAAAAAATGATTTTAATTTCAGCTCGTAGATCGTTCCAAATTTCAGTCACACAATCGTTAAACGTTCATTGTGGTTGCGTTCCAATATTTTCCGCCGGTACCACGAATCTCTAGTATATACGAGACATAAATTGTAAATCTGCAGTATCGGTGGATATCGGAAATCTAAATAAATAAATATATATATTTATTTATTTATTTATTTATTATATATTTATATTTACATACTTATATTTATATATTTATATTTTTCATTTTGTGATAGAAATTTTCCTGTGATATCAATTGCTGTTGTGATGTAGATTGCAATCAGTTTCAATTGACTGCTTTTTCATATTGTCAAGATCATCATGTGGATCTGTATAACAGTCAATATTGTTACAATTGGAATTTTATACAACGAAATAATACGTCTTTCATTCTTGAGAAACTTGCAAATAATTTGTTCTGCATTTTATATGACAATCTTCCATCTTCGTATAGCATCGATAACGATTTGGTAAATATAATAATTAATTTAATGCCACTGTAAATATTTTTTGTTTGTAACGAAAAGATTAAATATGTATACTTCGTGCGTACA